AAAAATAAAAAAAAATTAAAAAAAAGACTAAACAGTCATTCATAAACATTTAAAAGTGGATTGCAAATTGAAATAATATTTTGAGTGTTTCAAAGCAAATCTATTATTAACATTAATGTCAATCATTTCTTTTTCACTCTTGTAATACATGTACTAGAAAATGTAAACTTACCAGTGTGGCTGGAGTGATTATATCCTCTGGGGGTAGAGCCGGACTCCTAAGTTTCTACCACTCTCTGAATCTCTGATTCTACAATTCACTGAATTTCATGGGTCTGAGATTTCAGGAGCTCAAAACTCTGGATTTTTCTGGGTCAGAGTCTAGGCTTCTAAGAGTTTCAAATTTTAGACTCCAATAATTAGATTACTTGGGACTCTAGAATTTGGAGAGTCAATTCTAACAGTTGAGCTTTTGGGAAAAGAAATGAAGGCTAAATCCTTCCTGCCCACAGCTCCCTCCCTCCCTCCGAAGGCCCCTTGACCCCCCCCCCACCCTTTCCTTATCCTCCCCCCCCCCCCCACACATGGTGGTGCCCGGGTCACTCACCGCTTGCGGCAGTGGGCAGCTGTGAGCAGCCAGCGGTCACTGATGAGGGAAGCCCCACAGAAGAGGCGGGTGAGGAAGAAGAGCCCGGCCTGCCAGGGCTGCGAGTTGGGGAGGCATTCCTCAGCCCCGATTGCTCGGGTATCTGCCCCGCCGTGCCCTGGGGTGGGGTGGAGGCAGAGGGGTAAATGACAATCACGGTGGGAGGGCTGGGGGAGACCTGGGAGATACCTAGCAGGAAGGGGAAGGGCAAGCGTGGGGGGGGGGGGGTGGAGAGCGGGGGAGGGGTTGAGGGGTCTCTCAGGGGGCCCTGCGCACAGGCAGCAGGATGGGCAGCAGGAGCCTCACCTGTCAGGAGAGAAAGCAGAGCACAGACGAGTCCCAGCCTCATGACCTCGGGGTGCCTGGGTCTTGAGCATGCGTTGGGGCGCCGGGTGCTTCTTTAAGGTAAGCCATGCCATCTCCTTCCTCCTCTCTGGGGCCGCCCCTGTGATTAATCTGGGTTGAGAAATGTCCCAGGAGGAGGGGGAAGCCCTGGAGCCTTGACTGGGGGCTTTGGGAGTGGAGGTGATGCGGGAGACCCCCCCCCCCCCGCAGGGCTTCGTGGAATGAGGGAGGGGCCCTGGGATCTCCAGAGAGGGGAACCCTCATTCCCATGATCTGGGGATGTGGGACCTGGATACAGGATATCCTGTGATCTGGAGGAGGAAGAGGGATAGGAAGATGATTCCTAAGGCTGGGTCCTGAGGTGGAAGCAAATTTATCTTGAATGAAGCTTGTGGTGAGCTGTGACCAGTGTCCTGGGCAGGAGGGCGCCCTTCCAGAAAGCAGGCTGAGGCTGGGAGAAAGAACAGAGACTCGGTAGGAAGGAGGCAGGCAGGATGGGGCAAGGCAGGGAAAGAGAGAGAAAGAATTAGAGAGAAGGACAGAGATAGAAGGATCAGGGGTGAGAGAAGGAGAGAAAGGAAGATACAGACTGAGCAAAGCAGAGACCACAAGGAGCCACGCACATGTGCATGCCCTACCCTGAGCATCCAGGCCCCTTCCCGCAAGAACAAAGCCCTCTCCTAGAAGGTTGAGGAAATATGGTCCCAACTGGATTAACCCACTCTTGTCATAAACTACCCCATCCCCTTCGTATCGCTACCCACCAAGGACCCACATGCCCAACATACCTGGAACTTAAGTGCTTTACTTTTCTCTTAATACCGCCAGATCTTGGCCAAGTCCTGAGAACATTGCCCGTTTTTTTTTTTTTTTTTTTTTTTTTTAAATCTCTTCTCCTCCATTGCCCTTCCCATCCGCCCATCCTACTTGCCTTGATCCCCATCCCTCCTCCTCATCAGGTGGACAGCCCCTGCCGGGCCAAGCCCGGATGTGACTCATCTGCATGTCCCCAGCATCACCCTTTCAGGGCTGCGCTCTTCTTGGGTGGCCTCAGGAGATGTTAATTAAAGGAGTGATAAACATTAAAAAAAAATTTTTTTTAGAGCATGGACTCTGGAAGTGGACCACCAGGGTCCAAATCTCAATGCTGGCCATTATTAGGTAGGTGACCTTGGGCAAGTCACTGGACCTCTTTCAGCTGGCCCATCTATTAAGACGTAGTAACAATTCCAAGGACTGAGTTGAGGGAGGCAGGGGACAGACCATTAAGCAGTAAACAAATAAATGAGGTCGTTTCAGCTCTAGCAAGTGTTGCAAAAATAAATAAATAAATAAATAAACCGAGCAATGGATTGTTGTCCCGGTAAGGGCAGGAGACCCCTATAGCCAGGGCAATCCTGGAAGTCTTCTTGGAAGAGGTGACCTTTGAGTAGAAACCTGAGTAAGCAGAAACCTGAATGACACGAATGGAAGTCTTGCCTGTCTCCCTGACCTGACTAGCAGCTCCTTGAGGGAGAGCTCAGGCTGATTCATCTCCAGGACCTGGAGTAGGACACAGCTCAATAGACACTTGTACTGTGATGATTACAGGAACGGGTGATTTGCCTTTAAAAATGAATCGAGGAGCGCCTGGGAGGCTCAGTCGGTTGGGTGTCGGACTTCAGCTCGGGTCATGATCTCACAGATCTTGAGTTCAGGCCCTGCGTCGGGGCTCTGTGCTGACAGCTCGGAGCGCGGAGCCTGCTTCGGATTCTGTGTCTCCTCCTCTCTCTGCCCCTCCCCCCCTCACACTCTGTCTGTCTCTCCGTCTCTCAAAAATAAATAGACATGAAACAAATTTTTTTCAGTGAATCAAGTTTTCAAGTTCCCACCTACTTTGCTTCTGATTCTTGCATGACAAACTCCGCTGATATGCCTGATTGGCGTTTCCTGGGTGTGCTAATGGGGGTGGGGGAAGGAAGCTGGAGAGGCTCAGGGCTGGAAACTGTGAGCCAGGCTTCTGTGGGCTCTGTGAGCGCAAGGACCGTGTGGTTGGCGTCGCCACTATGTTCCCAGTGCCCAGCATCAGGCTTGCCATATAATAGGTGCTCAATAAATTGGTGTTTGAAAGGGCAAACAAGAACAACCTGGCTGGGAAAGTTCTGCTGTGCAGATGTTCAGCCGATGTAATTAATATCTCCAGAGTCCAGGCTAAGTGGAGACACCTCTGCCTGGATTCTGTGTGTAATACCCTCCAGCAGAGAAATATTTACATGGAGATACTTTCAGAGAGAGGAAAATAACTCTTCTCTTCAAAGTTTCAGGGTGAAATTTCAAAGCCCGTTTGGAGTGGGTTGGGCATGGAGGCAGACTGGGGGCTGTGGGTGTTGGATCGGAGGGTGAGAACGGAGATACAGAGTGGAGCTGGGACTAGAGCTTGTGGTTGGTGAGGGAATGGAGACGGATCTAACCAAGAACTTTCCCCTGAATCTCAGAGGGCTTCTTTATGTCAACTTAGCAACTGAGGTGGGGAGAGTTCCTCTGGTCTTAGAGGCTGGGATGGGTCCAGGGTAAGGTCCCTTGGGTTCCCGCGGCCCCAGGAAGGCAGAGAAGGTACCAGATGACTCAGAGGTGGCCCAGCTCCTGCTGGCACAGGAGGGACTGGTGTCAGGCGGACCCAGATGTGGCAAACAGTGGGAGGGAGGGAGGAAGTGGTTAAGGGGTGCTTCGTGGAACTTGAGAGGAGGGTGGGGAATGTGATTCTCCCATCAACCCTGAGGGCTGGGGATGGTGAGGGGGAGCTTTGGATTGGGGGCTACTCCTGTACTCTTCTCCCCAGGACACAGACCGACATACGTTCTCACCAGGACCTGTTGGCAGGTCATGACAACAGGTAACATTTAGCCAGGGCTCACCACCCACTGTGTTAATGCTTTACTGATAATTACCATAGCAACCTACACACTCATGTTATATCATAGTCTCCTCACAGTGGGAATATGAGGTAGGCACTTCATTGTCCTCATTTGCCAGGTGAGGAAATAGAGGCCCAGAGAGGGTGCTTAGCTTGCCTGAGGTCACACAGCAGGGAGTGGTAGAGGAAGCCTGGTTTGGTGAGTGACAACCCCTCTCAGAGATGGGGTGACCACCAGCTTCCTTGTTTCTCTCAAATTAAAAAAAAAACAAAAAAAAAAAAAAAAAAAATTTTTTCCATCTTTTTTGGCAGTTTGGCTCCAAAGCAGGCAGTGGGCGGGGGGTGGGGTGGGGTGGTTAAGGGAGGAGGAGAGACATCAGCAGGTGTGGATGGGCAGCGGAGGTTCCAGCGGGGCAGGGGAGGAGCCCAGCCCCCGCAACTGCCCAGGAAGGGAGAAGAGGCAGCTGGTAGAGGCTCCGGGCCTGGGGGTCAGTTGGAGCGTAGGGTTTTCTCTATCCAAGAGGTGTACTTGCAGATTTGAGTGTAGACAGCTGGATGCTGAGCAGAGCCGCAGGGGTAAACGCCCCATGAAAGGATGCCCTGCAGGGTCTCGTCACAGACCAGAGGGCCACCAGAGTCACTCTGGGGGTGGGGGAAGGAGAGATCAAATAAATGCACCAATTCAAAGGCTGCCTCTTGGGGATGTGGGGGTTGGGTAGGGTTGGAGTTGTGTTTGGATAAAGACAAGGTTGGTGGGGCGCCTGAGTGGCTCAGTTGGTTGACTGTCTGACTGGCTCGGGTCGTGATCTCACGGTTCATGAGTTCGAGCCCTGCATTGGGGTCCGCACTGTCAGTGCAGAGCCCACTTTGGAACCTCTGTCCCGCCCCCCTCCGCCCCTCCCCCATGCTCTCTCTCAAAAATAAATAAAACATTTTTTTAAAAAAGATGAGGTGGGTTAAGTACGAGCTGGGGTTGGGATGGGGCCGGACTAGGGGTTGTGGACATTGGATGGGGGGGGGGGGGGGGGAGTGGAGATGGGGTAGAGCTGGGGCTGTAGCTTGTGATGAGGTGGGGGGAGGTAGACATGGGCCGACAGAGAGGGATGGGGTGGGGGTCTAGGCTTGCGGATGGCAATGCTGTTGAGGACGGGGTCAGAAGTCGGTAGGGCCGGGCGCCAGCAGATGGACCCAAGGAGGTAGAGTCGGACGTGGGGTGGGGATGGAGGTTGGGGTAGGGATGGGCTCATGTTGGACACGGGGATGACACTGGGGTAGGGATGGGATCATGTGGGACACGGGGTGTAGGGTTGGGGACAAGGATGGGGCGTTCCGATTTCCCATAACCCTATCCTAGCTCCCATGAGTGAGACCCTCCCTGGCCAGTTCCTACCTGGCAGGGGTCCTGACCCTGGTCCAGTCCTGCACACATCATGTTGTTGGTGACCACACCAGGGTAGAAGACCTCGCATTCTTTAGGGCTCAGGACAGTGACCCTGGAGCAACTCAGGCCCTTGTTGTACTTCACTGACAGGAGAAAATAGGAGGTGATACTGTGGCCAGACGTCCAGTCCTCCAGGACTCAGGAGTCCAGATACCCAGACGGTTCCCATCCCAGACCCCAGACCTCCAGCCCCTCCTTCCCCAGACCCAGGGTCCCACTCCCCCCAACCCCCTCCCCCCTCAGACCCAGGGGTCCTGGCCCTCAGTTCCTCTTCCCCAAGATACAGGCTTCAGGGTGCCCAGCTCTTGCCTCTTCGGGTGGCCGTGGTGCCCCAGCCAGCCACCTGGCACTGGTCTCCCGGCTGGGCACAGCGGTAGGGCAGGCGCAAGGTCTGGACCCGAGGCCCCAGCACAGCCGGCCTGACCAGCTTCAGCAGCATGAGGTCATGCTCGTCTGTCCGCCGCGGCAGGATGGGGCCCAAGCCATGCTGGTACTTGGGGTGGACGATGGGCCGGGTGGTCCTGCGGAGCTGCTCGCCCTGGATAAGCAGCAGGTGGTCGTCCCCAACGCGAGCCCACAGAGGCCTGGGGAGGGAAGAGCCACGTGAAGGTAAAGCCTTTGTAGGGACGGGGTCAAGACTCTGAGTCGGTGGGAAGGAGGGGACTGGCCCCATGGTGGGAGCCCAGACTCCTGGGTCTGAGGGAGAGAAACTGGGGGCTGGGACTCCTGGGTCTGAGGGAGGAGGAGGTGGGGGAGAAGGGAGCTGGGGTTCTGCAGGAATTGAGGACTGGGGGTCTACCTGGGTAAGCCTACCACTCCAGTCCTTCCTCAATGGGGAGTCGTGAGGTGAACAATGTCTTTAGTTCTAAAGTCCTAACCACACCGGACCCCCGGACCTGGGTCTGTTGCATGCAACTATCCACCCTTCAGGGGAGCCCAAGGAGTATCTACTAGACAAAGGGCAGCGGACGAGCCCGAAAGCCCTGAGAAGGATCTACAGCGCCCCCTGGAGGCCACAGCCCAACCCTGCCTCACCTCCTGCAGGAAGCCCTCCAGAACTGACTCCCGCAAGGAGCTCGGAGAGGTCCATACCCTCAAGTGCCCCAGCTCTTCCCGCCGCCTCCCCGGGGCCTGCCTCCACCGCCCCTCCGTGGCTGCCCTGAGGAGCTCCCCCTACTTGTTCCCGCAGTGCGCGGCTGTGAGCACCCAACTCTTGTCCACCAGGACGCCCGCGCAGTGGAACTTGAGGCCATCGAAGAGGGAGACCTGCCAGGGCTGCGAACCGCGTGCGCACGGGGCGCCGGAGGCCACAAGGTCTAAGTCGGTGTCGTTTCTGGGGAGCAGCACCGCCTCCGCGGCTGGAGAAAGAAAAGGGGTGGAGACAGGGCAGGAGCTGGGCTTGGGGCCACAGCTGGGCCGTGCGACGGGCCTGCGGGGCCCGCAGCCAGAACCAGGGAAGCTGCGGGAGAGGATTGGAAATTGGGGGTCCTGCAGGAACCGAATGGAAGTGGCGGAGAAGGACCGCGGGAAAGGAGAAGGAGGCGGGGACAGAGCGGAGTGGAGTTGGGGAGAGCGAACAGGGAGGGTCTGGAGGGACGGGGACAGATTGCAGCGCTCGAAGCAGAGGAGGAACAGAACCCGACCCGGCCACCAGGGGGCGGGGATAGAGGAGGGCGGGCCGGAATAGCGCCGCAGAACGGTGAGAGGGCCGAGGGCCAAAAGCTGTGAGGCAAGACTTGGGGGATAATTGGGCGGAGTTGGAAGGAGCGGGGACCGAGAGGGACTGAGAGAGGGCACGGGGTTAGTCAGGGGCCGGGAAGGAAGCCGAGAGAAGGGAGGAGTAGGGATCCAGGCGCAGTGCAGGGGGCGCAATCCCCCAGAGCGGAGCTCGGGGGAGGGGGGACCCGGCTGACTTAGGGGCGGGCCAGCACTGGATCAGCAGGTGGGGCCTGGGGTCCCCGGAGGAGCAGTGTTGCGCTGGGGTTGGTGATGAGAGCACACTCTGCCATCTCCCCTGGTCCCTGGCACCTCCCGCCAAGCCCTGTCCCCCGCCTCACCCCAGAGTTGCGTCACGAGCAGCGGCAGCAGCAGCATTGCCCGGGCCCGGGGGCCAGAGGCGGTGGAGGGGTGGAGGTGCGGAGATCTCATGGCCGGGACCGAGGCTAGGGGGCGAGGGCGGATTAAAACGGATGCCCCGTCAGAGACCTGCACCCCACGGCGCCCGTCCGCCCGTCCTGGGCCAACCCAGCCCGCGAAGACCCGCTAAACCTGCGGCCGACGACTTCAGGGACAGGGGGACGGGCGACTCGGGCCAGAATACCAGGGATGGGCACCATTACCCTGATGACGCCCCCCGTGGCGTCCTCCAGACCTCCCTGTGCCCGAAGGGGGAGCCCTCTCAGGACCCCGGCTTCCCCGGACTGCCGGCCAAACAGCATTTGGGTTTCGCCCTCCTTCACAGGTGGCGCGAGGGTCCGAGGCTCAGAGGCGCGCCCGATTGATAGGGCAATTGAGGCTCAAACAGGGCTCGTGCCCGCGACCCGAAGGTCCCCACCCATGCTCTCACAACCCGCCCCTACCAGGGTAGGGCATCCCACCTCACCTGGGAGTCGCTGGTAGGGAGGAGGGCTGGTGACGAGGAGGGAGGAGACTCAGAAGTGCCTCTGCCCTGCCGCCGAGTGGGCCGCCGAATCCTCTGCCCAGGGACCCCTGGCCTGGCCTTCCCTTTTAACCCCGAAGAGCCCGGAAATTTCACCACCCTCCCCCCAGGGGTTCACTCCCTCCCTTTCCCTCTCCCTAATTATACCGTGGGTGGGGCTGGCGCCCAACCTGGGCCCCAGATTCCTGCTCCGGGAGGGGCCCAGGGAATACAGGCTCTCTCCAGGGCCCCAAACACCCTTTTTGGAGCTGGATTCCATGGGGATTCCCCGCGACTCCTCTTCCAAGAAGTCTTCTCAGCTGGGGAGAGAGGATCCCAGGGAGCCTAAGGGTCTTGAGGAGGGCGTTGGAGAGAGGTGATTGTGAGGCCAGAATGCTGGCCAGGAGAGAGGTAGGCAGAGAGAAAAGACAGATGGAAGGAAAGGGTAGGAGCCACACAGACTGAGACACAAAGAGACAGAAAGGAAGCAGAGGGGGAATGAGCCAGAGCTCAGAGCCTGAGCGATGATGCTGTGTGCTGAGTTCATCCTCACAGCCAGAACAGGGGGCTCAGCAGGTGGCCCAGTGAGTTGCATCCCTTCCTCCTGTTGGGGGGGGGGGGTACACTGCACATCACACCCAGGTGTGGTCACGTCACATCCTGCCACCTGCGTGTCTTCAGGTGACACATAGGCCCATGAATCACAGGAGGCCAAGGCCACAGAAGAATGTCAGTATCACCTGGGTCAGCTGCTCTATCCTTTCCTTTCAGATGAGAAATGGGAGGCCCAGAGAAGGCAGTGATTCACAGGAGGTCACACAGCAAATCCACCTAACAACCAGGAGGCCCCAGTTCCAGCTCTAGGCTCTTTTTTTTTTTTTTTTTAATTTTTTTTTTTAACGTTTCTTTATTTTTGAGATAGAGAGAGACAGAGCATGAATGGGGGAGGGTCAGAGAGAGAGGGAGACCCAGAATCGGAAACAGGCTCCAGGCTCTGAGCTGTCAGCACAGAGCCCGACGTCGGGCTCAAACTCAGGGACCGCGAGATCATGACCTGAGCCGAAGTCGGACGCTTAACCGACTGAGCCACCCCGGCGCCCCAGCTCTAGGCTCTTATATCTCATGCCCACGACCTCTCCTGCAAGGTGAGCAAGACGTCAAAAAAGATTCTGAGTTCTGGACCATTTATGCAGCATCTTCTCCAGTGGGAACTGAGTTAACTCTAGAGGTTGTCCAGCTCCGGGCTGTCCAATGGAACTTCTTACAACAGTGGAAATGCCCTACGTGCGATATTCAGTACAACCACGAGATGTGGCTACAAAGCATTTGATATGTGGTGAGTGTCGGTTAAGCATCTGACTTGATTTCAGCTCAGATCGTGATCAGCATGGAGCCTGTTTGGAAATCTCTCTCTCCCTCTCTTTCTCTCTGTCCCTCCCCAGCTTGTGCACGTGCTCCGCCTCTCAAAATAAATAAATACACTTAGGTAAATAAATAAATAGCCCCATATGGTTAGTGGCTATCGTATTGGCCAGCACAGGTCTGGTGGAACTACCTAGCACGGAGGTTGGGAAAAAAAACAATGATAGCTCCTTTTCTTAGCTCCTAATTATGTGCAGGCTGACTTAGCCTCGTGTGTTATTATACTTTTACGTTCATGGTTTTACAGATAAGAAAATTGAGCCTTAATCGAGTTTCACTCTGTAGTTAAGAAATCATTGCTCTTCCCCTTACTGGCTGTGTGACTATATGAGCAAGTGACTTGTTTCTCTGTTCCCCCAGTTTCCTCATCTGCAAAATGGGTTCAATAATAGCACTTAATCTTTGTGAAGATTAAGTTAGTTGATATGTTGAAAAGCCCTTGGACCAGGTGTGGCATATAGTAAGCGCTCCAAAGATTCATTCACTCAGTAAGTATTTATTGAAACCTTGGTGAGTGCCTTTGGGGCTAGGGATACAACAGTGAACCAAACAACACTTCTCTCTCCCAGAATCACAAGTTAGTACAAGGCAGGATTGGAACCCAGGCCTCGCTAATTCCAAACCCCAAGTTGATTATTAAACCACAGCATGTCTCATAGTTAAGGTGGCTGAAAAGAAAATATATAAAGATGTCCTCTCTCTTGGGCTTGACTATTAACAGAATGAGCCACATCACCAAATAGGGATCAGGAGTGTTGGGCTGTGATAAGTTGGTCCTGGCTAATTATCCTCCATAGTCTTCTGGATCCAGTCTACATATTTGCAGACCTTGGTATAGACACCAGGCTTTCTGGTGACAGCACATGGATCCTGGCCCCAGGAGATAATGCCTTGAAGAGACCCGTCACAGACCAGAGGGCCCCCAGAGTCACCCTGGGTATGGAGAGAGAGAAACCAGTCACAAAGGGGGGGAGGGTGGCCATAGGGGGGGGGCAGGATTGGGCATGGTGTTAGCGACGGTGTTGGGATTGGGGTGGAGGTTTAGGATGGGGTTGGCAAGAGAATTGGGGATGCGGTTGGAGATATGGATAGCAGTAAAGATGGGTGAGGGTTGGAAACGGATGGGGGGGTGGTTGGGGCTGGAGTTGGGGGTGGGAACGGGGACAGAGCTGGGGATCACACAGAGGTTAGAAATAGGAACGAGGGGTGGAGAGAGATTGAGGGTTGCAGGGAGGGGGGACTGGGTCAGGGCTGGGGACGAGATTGGGATGTAGTTGAAGAGGCAGATGAGGTGGGAGATGGGCACGGGGATGTGGCTGGAGACCCAGGCCCTGCCCCCTGACCTGGCAGGAGTCTTTGCCCTCTTCCCGAACACTGGCACACACCATGGTGTCTGTGATATTGCCGGGATAGGCGTCCTCACACTCTTCGTGCTTAATGATGGTGATGTTGGCACATCGCAGGGTATGGGGCAGGTGCACTGTGGAAACGGCATGAAGGGGTGTGGACAATGAGAGCCCCCAGTCCCCTTCCCCACGCTACAGAGCCTGCTCTGGACCCAAGGACCTTGCTCTGCCCCACCCCGCACCCAGGTCCTGTCCTTGCTGGCAGCCAACTCATCTCTCCGCACTGGTGACACTACTGAGTAAATTTATGATGCCAGTTGTTCCAAATACACTATCTCTGATCCAGCCCTGGTAGGTGGGTGGAATTATCCTCATTGTATAGAGAAGAAAACCAAGGTTGAGCGAGGTGAAGCCACTTGCCTGAGGCCCCACAACTAGCAGGTTGTGGATCTGGCAATGTGCACTATCTGTCTGACTCCAAGGCCCCGATTTTTGTCTCCCTCCTCCCCAACCCTTCCTTATCCCACCACTGACACCCCCAGGAACGCCCCTCTTGCACTCTCGTACTCTATGACTCTCCCCTCTGCAGGTTCCCCTCTGCAGGTTTCCCCCTGTCCCTCTGTCCTCCCACACGCCCCCTTCTGTGTCGCCCTCTGGAGCCCCTACACTGGGGGCTGGACGTCGTGCCCCAGCCAGAAATGAGGCAGCGGGTGCCAGGAGCGACACAGCGTGACGACAGCGTGAGTGGTCGCACGGCCCGGGTGATGAAGGCCGCTGTCGTCATCTTCACCAGCATGATGTCATTGCGGTGGTCTTTGTTGGGGAGGCTGTTGTTGAAGTCTGGGTGGGGGAAGGACTCGGTGGCCGTTCGGATCTGCTCAAAGCCATCCCGCCGCTGGAGGTTGTGCTCCCCCAGGTGAACTAAGTATCGGCTGAGGTGGGAGAGATGGCGTCAGAGGTGGAAGGTCAGGAAGAGAGGCAGGAGAGGGGAGGTGGGGGGACACAGAGGGGAAGGGGAAGGGTTGAGTGCAACTGACAGAAGAAAGCAACAAAGCTCCACTCGCAACTTCATCCCCACCGAAGCCTCCTTCGAAACCATAACCCCACTCGGCCCCCACCCCCTTGCCAACACCTCCCGTCCTTCCGTCCTGTCTCAGCTCTGTGTCCGTCTTCAACGCTCATGCCACCCCGCCCGTGCCCGTCTCCGACCCCATGCCCATCCTCCCCATCCCCAAGCCCCTCTCCAACCATCTCTCCATCTCCAGCCCCCTGCCGGCCCGCCCCAGCCCCCGCACCCACGGCTTGCGGCAGTGAGCTGCTGTCAGGAGCCATTTGGGAGCGATGAGCGTCGCCCCACAGAGCAGCCGTGTCTTCTGGAACAGAGCCACCTGCCAGGGCTGGGAATGAGGAGAGCACTCATACCCCTTGATGATCCTGGTCTCTCCCCCTACATGCCCTGGAGGGGAGTGAGGGCAAAAGAGGGGCTCAGGCAGAAGTGGGGGTGGAGAGAACAGAGAGGGGGTGGGCGGTGTGGGCCCCAGCCCTGTGTCCTGCTGGGAGGCACTGTCTGGATGGGCCAGATATTAAATGATTGAACTGCTTCCATACTGATTGGCCAGTAGCTACTGTTCTGGGCTCTTTGAGTATCTCCCCAGCTACCCTGGCCCTTCCCCTGGGACCCTCCTTGACCTCTCCCCATTTTGGCATCTAAAGGGATTATGTCTGGCCTGGCAAGGGGCATTTGGGACCTCATTATGGCTCATATGCCCATTTAGATCTTCTACGGATTGTTCTGTATTTTGAGTATCAGCCCTATCAATATCCAGACACAGAGGGCTGAGAGAGCTTAAAGATTTGAGAAGGAGGCCCCTGCCCTCCCCCATTTCTCACACACCTGTTACCAGAGCAAGAATGATTAATCGCAGAATCATCATGGCCTGGAGAGGGGAAGGGCAGGCCCCAGGTTCTTCTGGGAACAAGAAGGGACAAGGGGCCAAATCACTTTATGGGGAGACTAGGGAGGGGTTGGTTCATGCTGTCTCCTCCTCCCCTTCCCTGCTCTGGCTCCCCCCAGGGAGAAGCAACGGGGTTTGAGGAACCCCCGAGTTCTCACAGCATCCCAGCCTCCAAACCTTTAAACTAAATCTTTGAGGGGCGCATGGGTGGCTCAGTGGGTTAAGCCTCTGACTTTGGCTCAGGTCATGATCTCATGGTTCATGAGTTCGAGTCCCACATTGGGCTCTGCACTGACAGTGCAGAGCCTGCTTGGGATACTCTCTCTCTCTCTCCCTCTCTCTCTGCCCCTTCTCCCTCCCCCCGCCCCGCTCTCTCAAAATAAATAATAAATAAACTTAAAAAAAATAAATCTTTGGTATCAAAGGTGGCCTTAGAGGGGACTGATATCAGCTAAAAGCTTCTAGCAGCCAAAGAGAATATGGCAATTGCTGGGAGGGGCTTTGACTTTGGGGCAAGCGATTGGCCGGCTCCGTTTTAAGTCAGCCATGGTACCTGTGAGATGCTTTGGGGGTGAATGTTTTCCTTCTTGCACACCTGAGACCTGGCCAGGCCCCAGCAGCTTGGGACAGGTGAATAAAAGGAACCAGCGTCATTTAGCATCCACCGCAGGGTGATATGGGCCCGTATAGCAGGGAGCTCAGCCTGGGACCATGTTTTAGCCTTGTCTTTCTGAATGCCTGCCCCTTTGAAGGACAGGCAGATAGAGCTGGGCTGGGCCGGTCAGGGGAGAGGCCAGTGCCCTCAGCTGCCCTGGCCAGCAGGGGGAGGGGTGGAGGCTGGACTCAGCTATCAAAGTAGGGATCAGAGACACAGAGAGAGGCAGAGAGCACCCACCCAAGCCTAGAAGGGCAGAGCAGAGGGAGAAAGGGTGCGGAGGTAGAGGAGGCCAGGCAGGCTGCATGGGGGGGGGGGGGCGGTTGTGCCCTTCCCTCCCCGACTCACAGGCTCTGGGGCTGGGGCTCTGGGTGGCCGGTGGTGGTAGTGGTGGTGTAGGCAGCTGTGGCGGTTTGGGTCAGAGGCAGGTTGGGTCAGAGCATCAGGCACCAGGCAGGTGGCAGACGTGGGGTGGCCCGGATGACTAGGCCTCCTAAGCCCTGCCTTGTTGCCCTGGGGGTGGTGTGTGTGTGTGTGTGTGTGTGCGCGCGTGTGCGTGCCTGCCTGCCTCTGTCACCTCTCCAAGCCCCTCTTCTCTCTGCTTTTCTCTGTTTCTCCGACTTGTCCGCATCCTTCTTCGTCAGGCTGAATCTGTCCCTCTGTGTCTCTGCCGTTTCCTGCCTCTCTGTAAATCTCTGTCATTCTTCTCTTTGCCTCTCTGGGCTGGTGCCTTTCTGTCTCTTTGTCTTTCTGTGTCCCTCTCTCTCTCCTGTCCCTTCTCCTCCCTCCCCACAGCCCAAGCCCAGATGGGCCCCTGGCCTCCTCAGGGCCCCCTCCCTTCTCCATTCCAAGGAGAGGGGAAACTGGGGTGTCACAGAGGTGGGGCCACTGCCAGCCAAAGGGGCAGGCCGGGAGGGTGGGGGAGGCAGGTTGGGGCCTGTGGGAGTCGAGGCCCAGGAAAGGGAGTCAGCCCTCTGCAAGGCCTCAGCCCCTAGCATTCCTCTGGGGCTTTGTTTCTGCCATCCACCCTCCCCTCCGCTCCCCTCTCCTGCCTCCGCCCCTACCCCCCCAGCACCCTGTTCCCCGCCCCCCCCCCCCTCCAAATCCAGCTGGGACACTTACTCGCTGTGTGACTTAGGTCCAATGACTTCCGACTCGGAGCCACCTCAATATCCTGTCTGCCGATCCCTCTATCTCCCGGCTGGCTCCTTATCAGTTAGATCTCCTGCTTCTGTCTTGCCTCCTCTCTCCTCTCTCCCCTAACCAGAAGTGGGGCAAGACGACCGACCGGGTATGAGTTCTGAAGGCAGCCAGGCCTGGCCTCAAACCCCGGCTCTGCCTCTTCCTACCACAGTGACGTGAGCCAAGGGACTCCACCCCAGTGAGGCTCAGTTTCTTCATCTAGGAGATGGGGGGACAGCCCTGCCTTGGGGTGATTGGGATGAGGACTCCGGGACAGCCGAGCACAGCAGGCACTCAGCAAGTATTCCCATGCTGTCACCATCACCCCGCACTCTCCTACCCCCAAATTCCCTTTCCATTCACTGGGGAGAAGCTCTCTTTTCACCTCCTGGACGGTGGTGAAGACAGAACCCAAGGGGTGGGCAGGACTATTTTAAGACCTAGTCTGGGTCCTCTTGCTTTCCAAGGCCACACCCCACCTTCCATCATCACAGACATAGTAAAACGAACCCACATCCCACATTAAATACAACGTGTGCTTGGGGCACCTGGGTGGCTCGGTCGGTTAAGTGTCCGACTTCGGTTCAGGTCATGATCTCGCGGTTCGTGAGTTCGAGCCCCACGTCGAGCTCTGTGCTGACAGCTCAGGGCCTGGAGCCTGCTTCTGATTCTGTGTCTCCCTCCCCTCAGCTCCTCCCCTGCTCACACTCCATCTCTCTCTCAAAAATAAATAAAAATTAAAAGAAAATTTTTTTAATTAAATATAACGTGCTCAACAGCTCCAGCAAAGCCAACTTGGAATCCGCTACATGGAAGAATGTTAGGTTTTATAGACATTTAATTAAATGGTCATGAATTTTGATTTTGCAATTTTCATTTGGCATTTTTGGGCCAATAATTTTTCCCCCTTCAGGTCCTTCATGGGCACTGTTCCTAAAGTGCTGGGTGGAGGAAAAAAAAAAAAAAGGCCCTTATTTTTATTGTTATAAGTAAACTTTGCTACTCCATTCCTGTGTGGCTCCTAAGGGAAAACCCTCACCCTCTGTGGTCTCTATTCCTACAGTTGTGGGTAGAGGACTTGATGAACCTCCTTCCTGTGTCAACCAGCATGGGGGCATCAAACAGACAGACACATCTCCTCCTCCAGTTATATTTATTCCAGGTAGTCACTCATTCCTTTCTCCCCCAACCATGGGTCTTAAAAGGGCTGGCTGGAGTTGGAGTTCTGGGAAGAAAATCCCCAGAGCAAGAAGGATGGGAGCCAGAGTGATAATGGGGGGCGGTGTTGGTGCTCTGAGGCTCACTCAGTGTAGCAGCCAACCTGAGGGGTGGAGGTGGAGGGAGCAGGCTAGTTGTTCCTCATGACCATCCGGATCCAGTCCACATATTTGCAAATGTTGGTGTAGACTCCTGGGATGCCTTTTTGCCCACAAGGCTCCACAGTTCCCCAGGACACCAGACCTTGAAGGACTCCTCCACACACCAGCGGTCCTCCAGAGTCACCCTGGAATACAGAAGGAGAAGGAGCACTGAATAAATAAGGAAGAAATCCTGTCTCCATTTTCTTTTTCCTGACTCCCAAATCCATTCCCAGGCCTTGAAGACAGTGGGTCGGCGCTTGGTTATCAGAGAGAAGAGCGTTACTCCGTTCCTGAGGACAAGAGCAATGACTGACCAATAGGGAAGAGTACCCTGTTCCTAAGGGGCCAATCCCAGGGCAGGCAGGACTCCATAACACGGTGATGGGGGGGGGGTGTCTCTCAAGGGGGATGGTTAGAGCTCTGGCCAATGAGTGAAGAGAGTGTTTTCAGTGACCAATCCCAGCGAAGGAGGTGGAAACCATAAGCGGTCTATAGAGGACAATTGGCACGGGCCCTGACCAATGAGGGAAAGAGCACAACCACCAGTGACCAATCCCAGCAAAGGAAGGCGGGAGCTATACAAGTTCTCTCAGGGACGAAGGCTAGGGAGCCCTAGCCAGCAGAGGGTGGCATCCTCCAACCTGAAGGACCCAAGAGGGCAAGGTAGTGGAATTGGAGGGCAGCAGAGTCCACCAGGCTCCTTTCCCACCTCCATCCTAGATTCTCTCACTCTCTGACCTGGACCAGCACCAACTGGAGGATGGTATGGGGAGAGACAACCAGTTACACTCCTGAGTTCTAAATCCCTGCCAGCTCTTGGCCTTCCCCACCTTTCTTTGTCTCTTCCTGTCCCTCTCCTTATGCTCTTCCCATGTCTCCTTCTCTGTTCCCTCCTTTCCTCTATCCTCCATCACCTAGCTCTTGCTGCTGTATCCTGCGCCTCCCCTCCTTTCTGACCACGCCTCTCTCCCCCATCTCCCTGCTCTGTCTCCTACTTCCTGTCCCGGGGTGACCGTGCATAGCCTGCATTCACTCACCTGGCAGGCATCTGCCCCATCAGCGCCGCTGGCACACACCATGTTGTCCGTGATTTTCCCGGGGAACAGAGCCTGGCAGGCAGCACTGGAAACGATGGAGACATTGAGGCATTGGAGCAGGTCCGGGAATGGTTCTGGGGGTGGGAGATAGAAGCTGCATTGTTCCCCAAAGCTTCCCATTTGGGGGCCACATCCTTCCACCAAAGGAAGCCAAATATAAGTCTATACTCTGCCCTCTTCCTGCGACTCTCCACAACAATCCTCAAACTTCTTGATTTCAGATTTATGACTTCATTTCATAGTGGCCCTTGCCCCAGTTCATTGACACAAGTCCCCCTCTCCTTTAACCTATGACTCCGAGTGCCATAACTCAAGGCACCTTTTGTCCCTCCAACCCCAGAAACAGTGAATCCGGACTTTTCTCCTTAAATTCCCCATGCGGTGCCCTTTGACCTTCAATCCTATTATACTTAGATCCCAACTTGACCTCATGTTCCCTCTCTGTCTCCAGACCCCACATTTCTTGTCTTCTCTTAAACGTCCAAACTCAGCTCTAAACCACTGCTCCAAAGTGACTTCTGATCCTAGTTTATTTGACCCCAGACTCCATGACCCCTAACCTCTAGGGCTTTCAATCCCAGACCAGCAATCCCTGATTGAATCTCAGTTTCTAGCCTCAGACTGTGACCAGCTTGTGCAACATCTGGATCCCATGTCCTCAACTCTACAATGACTTCTAACACCAGAGTCTCTGACCCATGACCCAAGGTCCTATTTACCCGTGCCTTTTGCTCCAGTCTGATGATCCCTGCCATCACTCTGGCCTCTAATCCCATCCCTGACCTATGGCTTCTGACTCCATACCCAACCCGTTGACCACTTTGACTCCCAAGACCCCTGGTCCACCATGATCTCTGACCCCAAACCACAATCCCCATGTTTGACCCTTGATCCATCCTTCTGTTGGCATGACTCCTGATCTCTCGTCCTCCACCCCAGACTTTGCCCGTTCTGAGCCCGGACCCTGAGGCTCCCTTACTCCCTGGCTGATTGGTGATGCCCCAGCCTGAGATGTGGCACTTGGTGCCAGCCGCTGCACAGGTGGTGGGCAGGGGCAGGAGCTGGACGCTGCGGGTCAAGCGGACGGGTGTGCCCAGTCGCAGGAGCCGGAGGTCATTGTCATGGCTGTGCCCGGCTCTCTGGTAGCCGGGGTGGGTCACGGAGAAGCCGCTGCGTCGGATCTGCTCCGTCCAGTCCAGACGGCTAAGACTGTGCTCCCCCAGGCGCACCCAGTACCTGCTGGGGGGGGGGGGAGGGGGTCAAGGTGGCTCAGCGGGGGGCAGTGGACCCCTGGCTCCCAGACCCTCCAGCCTTTCCCTGCTGCTTTGCACCTCAGTGTCAGTCCTCCCTCCCTCCCACACTTGTTCTGTCTCTCTGTCTCTCGTCTCTATCACTCTCTTTCCATTTCCTGCATTTGCCTACTTCTCCTCCCCGAGTCCCTGCATCTCTGTCCCTTTCTGAGTCTCTTAGCCAGGGCAAGCACATCCATCCTTCATTGCTTGCTGCTCTGTTCCCACCACCTAGAGGCTGCCTGGGCTGTTAGCACTGTCAGCGGAAGGAACGCGTGAGTAATGAGTGGACTCTCTCTGTTCTGTCCCTAATCAATCTGCCTCTTCGTGTTTGGAAGTTCCCTTTTGAAAAAACCTCAGAGCTTCAGACCTAGAAAGTCCAATCTCCTCATTTCACAGATGGGACTGCTGAGACCCAGAGAAGATGCCCAGACTGGGTCAGGGAATAGCTGGGGTGGTGACAGATGTCATGTGGGAAAGAAGGGGCACACGAGGAAATGGGAGCGGGTAGATGAGCAGGTTCCAGGACCCCTCATGCCACCCACACCACCCGCCCCACCCAGCCCCACCCCAGACCCATTGTTGCAGAAGTCCTACTCTTTGTCTAACCTCAGAACCTTTTGTTGCAAGACCATTTCCTTACTCCTTGGCACCCCCATCTCCTACCCTGAGGGTTCTCCTCCCCATCACCTTTCCGCTGCCCACCCCTGGAAGAGACCACACCCAGACAGGGGCTTACCTGCCACTGCAGTGAGCAGCTGTGAGGACCCATCTGCGGCCAGTGAGGACCCCCCCACAACGCAGACTGGTGCCCTCAAACAGCCCTACTTGCCAAGGCTGTGAGTGACGGGCACACTCCTTGCCTTTAATAATCTTCTCTGTGGCCGGTTGGCTGAGCCCTGAGGACAGGGGTGTGGGCCAGAGAGATGGGGTCAGAGATCTAGAGATTGGGGCTCAGAGACAGGAAAAGAGATGCAGAGATGAAGACACAGACAGGTAAGAGAGAGAGAGAGAGAGAGAGAGACCATGAGAGAGAGTCAGAGACAGGGAGACAGAGACCCAGGGACAAATACAAAAAGACCCAGCGATGCCCAGAGACACAGAGAGGAAGAGAAAGAGAAAAAGACAGAGAGATGCCTAAAGATAGGAGGGAGACAGGGGCGCCTGGGTGGCTCAGTCGCTGAAGCATCCGACTCTTGGTTTTCGGCTCAGGTCATGATCTCACAGTTTCGTGAGCTGGAGCCCTGCATCGGGCTCTGTGCACAGAGCCTGCTTGGGATTCTCTGTCCCCTTCTCTGTCTACTCCTCTCCCACTTGTACTGTCTCTGTCTCTAAATCAATCAATCAATCAATCTTAAAAAAAAAAAAGATAGGAGTGAGACAGAGACAGACAAGCACAGAGACAGAGAGAAAAGACAGAGGCATAGTGACAGGAAGACACAGAGAAGGTATAGATCAAAAGATAGAGGTGGCAGGGCCCCCAAGAGCTGGAGGTGAGTGGAGACATAGAGGCAGTCCCCTCCCCTCCTCAGTGCCAGACTGAGTGATCAGACCTGGAGGGGGAGATCGGAGGGCCCCCTGTCAGGGAGGAAGGGCTTCCCGCCCCGCTGGGGAACTCACCAGAAACACACACGAGCAACAGGATGCTGGAGCCCAGGGTGAGCCACCTCCAGGTCCTGGGAAACGTTGGGGGAATCTCAGAGATGGCCCTTTCCCTGTCAACCTGCCCCTCTCTTCGCCCACCCCGCCTCTTTGCCCAGCTCCAGGAGGACAGGATGCCTGCCCATCCCCCCCTCTGCCCCTCTCGGGTGGGGAGGGGGGGTCACCTCATTGGTGACCACCTGCCCCCTCCTCACCTTGTCCCCCTGCTTGCTGGGGCCTCCATGTAGCTGTCACAGTTCCAGCCTGTCTGCCTCTGCTATCTGTCTGTCCACCACCTGCCTGTCCTGTCATCCACTGGCCACCCCGCCAGTCAGCTCTCCCACTGTCCACCTGGCTTCTCAGCCACCTGTCATGCTGCCCCACCTGTCCCCCTCCTTCTGTCTGTCTGCCCCAGACAGGCAGCTGACACAGCTTTTAACTCTCTTAGTTCCAGCCCATGCAATTTCCGGGCTGAGGGAAGGGGACCAGGAAGACTTGGGGTGGGGCACCCTCTCTAATCCCGCAGAAAATCTTCTCAGCTAATGGCACCTAATTGAGCTTTACAACTGAATGGGGAAAGGGGGGTTGGGCCCAGAATGGCTCTAGGGGGAAAGACCCGGCCCCCCTCCTTTACCCCTTCTCTCCGAGCCAGTGCCCAGACCCACGACTGAATGTGACCTGGGAATTGGGTTCTAATCCTCATTCCTAGTGAGGAAGGCTCAGGGAGGGTGGGGCCCTCCCCCCCCCCTCCCTGCGGTGTGCAGGGAAGAGGCAGGAGGGTGAGTGTTTAAGAGCACAGGAGAGTGGAAGGGAGAGGCTGGGAAAGCCAGAGCTGAGAGAGCCCAGACTGAGAAGAGAAGGAAGGGATTTCGAAATAGATGATCAGAAAGAGACTGAAGAGGTTTCCAAGCTGGGTTCTGCAGAGTCTGATTCTAACTGAATTTTTTATTTATTTATTAAAAAAATTTTTTTTTCAACGTTTTTTATTTATTTTTGGGACAGAGAGAGACAGAGCATGAACGGGGGAGGGGCAGAGAGAGAGGGAGACACAGAATCGGAAACAGGCTCCAGGCTCTGAGCCATCAGCCCAGAGCCCGACGCGGGGCTCGAACTCACGCGAGATCACACAAGATCTCGCGAGATCGTGACCTGGCTGAAGTCGGACGCTTAACCGACTGCGCCACCCAGGCGCCCCCCTAACTGAATTTTTTAAATGCACGGTCGACCCTCTTCCCTGTGAAGCCCACTTTTCCTATCTGCATGTGGCCGATTTATCTAATTACATGAAAGTTATTTATTTATTTTTTCTCTTGCGTGAGGGCTTCCACTGGGAAAGAAAGGGAAACAGGGGACCGAGAGAGAGCCAGGGACAGGACAGTCTGTGCTGGTTCATCTGAGTTTTTGCTTCACCTGTGAGGGAGGAAGGGAGAGAGAGAGAGAGAGAGAGACAGACACTCAGAGGGGAGGAAGTTGAGAGGGAAGGTGGTCAGAGGCAGAGGGAGTGGGAGGAAACAGAAGAAGACCCTCCCCCCTTATTCCTGCCTTTCAGTCCATCACCTTCTCTCCGGTCTTGGATCTCTTTCCTTCTCTGATTTCATAATCACATATCTTCAGCTTTTACTTTCTTTTTTTTTTAAGTTTATTAAAAAAGTTTTAAATTTTATTTAGTTTGAGAGAGAGAGAGAGAGAGCATGAGCAGTGGAGGAACAGAGAGAGGGAAGGAGAGAATCCCAAGCAGGCTCTGCACTGTCAGCCCCATTGTGGGGCTTGAACCCATGAACCTCGAGATCATGACCTGAGCCGAAATCAAGAGTCACATGCTCCACCGACTGAGGCAGCCAGGCGCCCCACAAATCTTCAGCTTTTGATTTGTTTTGAGACAAATCACCTAACTGAATCCCTCTCTATTTCTGGATTCCTGGAGGGTTGGGTTTATTGAGGTGCAATTTACATGGAATAAAATTCACCCTTAGCTCCAGTCAGGGGCTGCCCTCCAGAACACGTACGAACATGGTCAAGTTCCATGGCTTTTCAAGAGAAGATGGAAATCCAGACTCATGGTGGGACGTTTTCTGATTTTCAAATATTGGCAAGAAAACAAAGCGTCTAAATCCCACTCTCTCTGTCTTCTTTTCTCTTTCTGCCTTTATTTCTTAATTTATTTTTTAAAATGTTTACTTATTTTTGAGACAGAGAGTGCCAGCAGGGGAAGGCAGAGAGAGAGGGGGACACAGGATCCCAAGCAGGCTCCTGGCTGACAGCAGAGAGCTCATGAACCATGAAATCATCACCTGAGCTAAAGTTGGACACTCAACTGACTGAGCGACCCAGGCGCGCCCTGCCTTGATTTTTTTTTTTTAAATAAAACTCACATAACATAAAATCCAGTGCCTGAACCATTTTATTTTATTTTATTTTTTTAATTGTTTTAACATTTATTTATTTTTGAGACAGAGAGAGAGCATGAACAGGGGAGGGGCAGAGAAAGAGAGAGACACAGAATCCGAAACAGGCTCCAGGCTCTGGGCTGTCAGCACAGAGCCTGACGCGGGGCTTGAACCCACGGACCACGAGATCATGACCTGAGCCGAAGTCGGATGCTCAACCGACTGAGCCACCCAGGCGCCCCCTGAACCATTTTAAAGTCCACACTTCAGTGAGGTCCACCACACTCAAAACACTGTGCAACCATCACCACAATTTAATTCCAGGACATTTTCATCAGCCCCAGAAGAGACTCTATCTCCATTAGGCTGATGTCCATCACATGATGAATGGATTGATAAAATGTGGTCTATCCATACTCTGGAGTATTATTCAGTCATAAAAAGGAGAGATACACTACCACTGGCTACAACGTGGATGAACATTAAAAACACTATGCTTGGGGCACCTGGTTGGCTCAATCCGTTAAGTGGCCGACTTTGGCTCAGGTCATGATCTCATCGCTCGTGAGTTCAAGCCCTGCGTCGGGCTCTGGGTTGACAGCTCAGAGCCTGGAGCCTGCTTCAGATTCTGTGTCTCCCTCTCTCTCTGCCCCTCTCCTGCTCATGCTGCGTCTCTCTCTCTCTCTCAAAAATAAACATTTAAAAAGAAAGAAAAAAGAAAACACGATACTAGCTGAAAGACGTCCATCACAAAGGCCACATGTTATATGACGCCATGTACACGAACATCCAGAACAGGCTCACCCATAGAGACACAAAGCAGATTAATGGTGCTGGAGCTGGACGGAGTGGGGAGTGGCTTCTCAGTGGTTCTCTTTTGACACAGACTTGCAGACTTGTGGCTTCTGGAAAAAGCCAGTCCCTTCTTTTGCAGCTGGAGGCTCAAAGAGGGCACAGACTGGCTTGCAGCTTCACTCTCACACCTCTCGCACTCAGGGAAAGCTCGGAGCCCCTTTGCCACCTCCTCCAGGGAGCCCACAGTGCTCTCAAGTCCCAAGCTCCACGTTTTCCTCTTGGGCACCATGGTAAACTCAATATGAAGGCTATTCCCTAGAGAGAACGCGGCCACCCTGACACCTGGGGAGAGGGCCTACAACATGGAGACTGTCGTAGACGTGGAAACAGAGGCAGGACTAGATAATGTCACTTGCCCACAGCCACGTGGTTGGCAAGTACCAGAACCAGAGTTTGAACCCAGCCAGTTGGCTCCAGAGCCCCTATCCAAACATATGAATGAACAAATGAATGGCTAACTGAACGAGTACAGGTGTGAACAGAGGAACGTATGAATGGTCCTACAGGCTTCAAAGAAGAAGGATAGCTTTTGGAATCATACACACGGCTGAAAGCTCAGCTCAGGCCATGACTCCCTGGGGATCATCATCAGGCTTTGGTTTGACCTCAGTTTGTTCATCTGAAAAATGGGGCTAGGAGGAAGCTACCTGTCTACATACCGCTCCCCCTTTTTATAATGTCTATTTTTTGGAGAGAGAGACCACATTTGCACCCGCAAGATGGGGAGGGGCAGAGAGAGACTGGGATCTGGAGGATCGGAAGTGGGCTCTACGCTGACAGCAGAGAGCCTGACTCAGGGCTTGAACTCATGAACCTTGAGATCGTGATCTGAACCGACATCAAGAGTCAGACGTTTAACCAACTGAACCACCCAAGGGCCCCATACCATTTCTTGTTGGGCTCATCAAACAAGGCAACAAAAATGGGTGAGGATTGGCTTTTCCGGTTCATTGCTTTCTGAAGAAGGAATTTCCAAAGCTGACTTAGATGACAGAACCTTTTTTTCTCAGCTGTGAAGCACTATCAGCTACAACTTGGTGCTCTGTCTTTTGTCTCTGTCTGTACACCTCTCTCTCTCCTTCTATTTCTCCTTCTATGAATGTTCATTCATTCATGCCTGCAGGCATGCATTCACTCAACAAACATTTTGAGATGCCCTGTGAGCCTGACCCTCTGCTGGGTGATCCTGGGAGCACAGAGTTTCATCAGAACCAGCAGCCCCCACCCCTCCTTCGCCTGCTCTGTTCTCTTCCATCATTCCTGGCAAAACTTATCCACAGAGGTCTACTCACTGCTTGCCCTGGACGGCCGCGGTGGTCTTTGGGTCTCCAGAGTCCTTCCACATTGAGCAATCTTGGTCTCCTGGTCCTCACCTTACTCGCCTTCAGGCAGCCTATCACCTGGTCTGCTGCTCCCTCCTTCATGCATTTCTGGTTTCCTCCTACTTTCTGTCTCTCGGACATGAATAGGCCTTTTTTCCTCTCCTGGTGTCTTTACAAATAAGGGTGTTCCCAGGGCCAGTCCTCAGCCTTGTCCTCTGCACTGACTACATACACTGGACAGTTTCACCTGTCACCTGGGGCAAGATGGCTCTTTAGTCTCTCCCTGGCTTCAAGCCTGTGCATCCAACAGCCTCCTGGATGACCCAAACCCAGGTCCCCCACTGTCTCACCAACCTATTCTCAGACGCTACTCCCTCGGCCTTGTGGTGGCTTCCCCCCTCCCCCTCCCAACTAGTCCTCTGGTCTGGACCCTTGAGACACTGATTCTTCCTAAGACCCGTCCTTCTTCTGAGACATCCCATCCCAGTACTGCCTCCACAGATAACTTCCTCCCAGTTCCCTGGCTCTGACATCTGCCTCTGAAAGTCTGGCCCTCTGCAGCTATTGGCATCTTGCATGCCCCTGGGCCCATATCACATGCCTCTCGTGAGCTCAGCATCTTCCCCCTGGTTTTCCCAGGGTGGGGGGAACACCACAGGCCAATTCGCTAGGCTGAATTCACATACTCTCCTCCTATTTCCCCCTCCTTAGCCCTGGCCCTCCATTGTCCCACTCTCTCCAGCCTCAGCTCAGGCCTCAAACCCCCCTCCCTGGACCCTCACCCTAGCCTCCTACCTGGATCCCCTCCCTCTGGGCTCCCTTCCCTACCCCCCACCCCCAGCCCTAGTCTCTGGACAGCCCCGTAAGGGTCTTTCTACATCCAGCCTGTTCCTTCTCTTCTGCCACACCCCTCCCACACCTCCCTGGATTATATTTGGTTTTCTTTCCAATTGCTGGCACAGAGCTTTAAAATCTCTGGAATGT